CTGACTCCTCGGTCTCCTCATGCAGGCTCTGGACTTTGAGGCGAGGAAGCAGTTTGCTCTGCAGGTGGCCGTGGCCAACGAGGTGCCCGTTGCGGTGAAGCTGCCCACCTCCACAGCCACGGTGACCATCAACGTGCAGGATGAGAACGAGGCCCCCGTCTTTGCCCCGCCGGTCCTGAAGGTGACGGTCTCGGAGGGCAGCCCCGTGGGGCAGGAAGTTGGCGCCTACACAGCGCACGACCCAGACACGATGCAGCCCCAGAAAATCAGGTGAGCTGCCTTGCCGAACAGCCGAGGAGGGTTCCCCGCACTGGCCTCAAGAGGAGATGCTTCTGAGGGCCCCTCAGGGCAGAGGGACCCACAGCACCTGCAGCTTCTGGGAAGAGGCTACCTGGGCAGGTGGTGGTGGTGCCATCCCCCAGCAGCACCTCTGGGGCACCAAGGCTCCCATTCGTGGAAAGGAAGGTTGGGGCAGGGAAGAGGAAGGGCCGAATGGAACCCCCCAGGGAAGGGGGGGCAGATTTGAAGAAGGGTCTGTACGGGGGAATTGAAGGAGGCAACAGCAGGCAAGTAGGTTCCTGACCCCCCTGAGGTTGGTCCACAGAAGAACCTCCAGGCTGTTTGCCTGAAGAAGGGCTGCTCCACTGCCCCTTTGCCTTCTCCAGCTCCGCCTTTCTCCCCTGGTCCCAAAAGCCCCACCTCAGAGCCGCCCCCCCCCCCCTTCCTCAGCCCCCATCTGCTTTCCCTTCAGGTACTTGCTGGGGGATGACCCTGCCCAGTGGCTGAATGTCCACCCGGAAACCGGCATCCTCACCGCCAAGGCGCCCCTGGACCGGGAGTCCCCCCTCGTCCAGAACAACACCTACGTGGCCATGGTGCTGGCGGTGGATGATGGTAAACACTGCTGGGAGGATGAGGGAGCCCCCCCCCACTCATGGCTGGGGAATGAAGGGCTCCTTTGTGGAGCTGCGTGGCGGTGGCTGCTTGAGGGCTGCCCACGTGAGGGACACAGGGTGCCTGGCTGCGGAGGCTGCCTGGTCATGGGAACCAGCCTGCCGGAGGGCGGGGGCAGGTGGTCCCTGCTCCCCAAGAGCCGCTTCCACTGATTCAGACTAAGTTGTGATGCCCGACTGCGCCCCATTCCGTCTGCTGTTTGCCATGGCCAAGGTGGGGGGGGGGGACTTGCTGGGCAGACAGAGCAGCCTCCGGAGCCACAGTGGACCGGATGCCTGCGGGAGCCTTGGGGGAGAAATGGGGCAAGACGTGGCAGAGATTGCAGGGTGGGAAGAGGGCAGAAGTGGGGCCTTTGTTCCCCTTCCTTGAGGAAGAGAAACAGCCCCTGTGCCTCTCCGTCATCCGGCTTTTGAGGCTGTTCTGTTTTAAACATGGCTCCCCCCCCCCCGGAATCCCCACAGCGACAGGGACAGGGACGCTGCTGCTGACCCTGCTGGACGTGAATGACCACGGCCCCGAGCCCGACCGGCGGAAGTTCACCGTGTGCAACTACGACCCAGCCCCACAACTGCTGCACATCTCGGACAAGGACCTCCCCCCCCATACCTCCCCTTTCCAGGCGGAGCTCCTCCACAACTCGGAGGAGAACTGGGCGGTTGAGATGGACAGCGAAGGTGGGCAGCCTCGGCGTCCTGGGAAATGGGCACTGACCCAACTTCCAGGAAGCTCGACCTCGGCACCCTCCAGCCCTCAGCCCCCCCCCCCCCGCAATCCGCTAGGCGGGTTGGCTGCCAGCAGGAGGGAGGAGAAGGCCTGGGCTGGCCTTGGGTCCCACCGTTTCCTGACTCCTCCAGGGGAGACGGCCGTCCTGAAGCTGCTGAAGCCCTTGAAGCAAGAGGTCTACGACGTCTACCTGCGGCTCCTGGACCAGCAGGGCAAGTCGCACCTGACCATCCTCAGGGCGACCGTCTGCGAGTGCCAGGGAGAGGTGGATGCGTGTCCGGAGGGGCAGATGGCTATCGTTGGGGCACCCATCATCCTTGCCATCTTGGGGGCCGTTTTGGCCCTTCTGAGTGAGTGTGCAAAGGCTGCCCGTGGGGGGATGGGGATCCAGGGGGTGGGTTTCCCCCCCCCAACTGCGCTAGCGGCGCACCCACCTGGACGCTCTCTTGTGAGAGTGGCCACAGCTGGGAGGCAGGCAAGGCCAACAGGTGCAGAGCATGGCCTTCCCTGGCCATGGGAAGGAGCCTTTGGACGATCTTTTCATACCATCCGCATAATACTGAGGACTAGACCCATGGGTTCTTGGGAGAATGGTGGTCGGGTCTTGGGACGGTGGCCTTGTGGGGCCTCCCTGAGCTCTGCTCCCTCCCTCGGCTGCGCCTTCAGCGAGGCGCCCACTGACCTTGGCTGGCTCTGTGTTCCAGTCCTGCTGCTGCTGCTGTTGCTCTTTGCGAGGAGGAGGAAGGTGACGAAGGAGCCGCTGCTGTTGCCGGAGGACGACACCCGGGACAACATCTTCTACTATGGCGAAGAAGGAGGGGGCGAGGAGGACCAGGTGGACCCCCTGGGAAGGGCCGAGCTCCCCTTATGACTGGGCCTGGGGGTCTGCTTTGGGGGAAGGAGCGGGGGGAGCTTCTGGGTGCCCCCTCCGCCTTGGCCAACCGGCTCCTCCTTCCCTGCCTCGAAAGGACTATGACCTCAGCCAGCTGCACAGGGGCCTCGACCCCCGGCCAGAAGTCCTCCTGCGGAACGACGTGGTGCCGACCCCTCAGCCAGCCCCGCAGTATCGCTCCCGCCCTGCAAACCCCGATGAGATCGGCAACTTCATCTGTGAGGTAAGGGAGGCTGGGTGGGCACCTCCTGCCTTGCGGTTGCTGGTCCCTGGGTGGGTTGCCCAGCTGGATCTTCTGCCCCCTGTAAGCAGGCCGAGCCACCCCAGGCCCAGGGTCACCTCTGTGTGTGTGTGTGTGTGTTACGTTTAATAAAGTGAGGGGGACAAGGACTCTAGCATCATCGGCTGAGCCCTGTTTTAAGGCTGGTACTGTAGCTTCTGGGTTCCCAGTAGGGCCCGCCCCCTACGGCACCAAATTTGCAGTGGGGCTCGGGGCTGCCTTCGCCGCTGGCCGGCCCCGTCCAGGTCAGTCGGGATGAGAAGCACCTGAAGTTCCGTCTGTCCCACATGCTTCCTCCTTTCCCTCCCAGAACCTGAAGGCTGCTGACCTGGACCCCACCGCGCCCCCCTACGACTCCCTGCTGGTCTTTGACTACGAGGGTGGGGGCTCAGAGGGGGGCTCCCTCAGCTCCCTCAACTCCTCGGCCTCCGGACAGGACCAGGACTACGACTACCTGCACGAGTGGGGCAGCCGCTTCCAGAAGCTGGCAGACCTCTACGGGGGAGGCGTGGCCGACTAGAGGGCTTCGCCCTGCAGCCAAGCTGGGCTGGCGGGCGGTGCATGGTCACCCTGACCCGCAGGCCACGTGGGAAGCAGAAGGCGCTGCTGTGGACTCTGGGGGGCTCCAGGAGACGGACCTTCGGCCATCTTCACAGCAGGGCAGCTACGTCCTGGGCAGAGGTGTCTCCGGAGGGGCTCCGTCCTGCCAGAGGGGGCCTGGCTGCAGGTCGCGAACTCTCCGCCCTGCGCCTCCATCTGGGGCTGTCCTGCTGCAGGTGCTGCCCAAGATGGGCCTGGCGGGGGGGGGGCCTGCCGGATGATGGACCCCTCAGCCTTTTTCACCTTCTCTGCTCTTTTGTATTGTAGCTCAGTTAGGGCCTGAGATTTCTTTTTATAGCATGTGGGAAACAACTTGATGACCTCTAGTGGGCTGGACAATCCGGGTGTAAAGTTTTAATAAAAGCTTTTTAAAAAAAATGCACCACCAACCTGCCTCATGTTTGTTGAGGGAACCAAGGCTGCCCTGGGCCTGAACAGCCGCTCCGTTTAGCTGTTGCCAGCCTTCCCAACACAACCCAGCAACCTGGGTGGGGCAGAGGCTTCCGGCTCCTCCGCTCCCCAAACACCACCTGCCTCCCTCACGTGTCTCCCATTCCCACCGGAAGGCTGCAGCCCTCCCAGCTTCCCCCCTTTCCCGCAGCCTCTCTGGGCTCTGGCCTCCGCATGTTCAGTCCTGCTCTGGGGAGGAAAAGAGGAGCCGGAGCTGCAGCTGTTCTGCCTGCCTGCAGCCAACCGTTCCACTCTCCCCTGGGCCGGGGTCTTTCGCCTGCATCCCAGGCAGCGACTCTTGGGCCTTCCGGGCCGCCCTGGCACCCGGGCTCCCACCGCACAGCAGGTGGCAGGGCAGCGCCTGGAAGCTGGAAGCGGCCCTCGCCCTCCCCGGGCTCCTGCGGGCTCTGAGGGCCTTTGGCTGGCCGCCAGCTCCGCACTCGCCCGACCGGTTTTTCCTGCCGCTGCGAGAGGCCCGGGCCGCGGATGGGGCGGCAGCTGCCCGGGGCGAGAGGAGGCTGCAAAGGGGAGGGCAGCTGCCCCACCGCCCTGCCCGGGAATGGATGCCTCGCAACTCCAGACCAAAGAACCGGACAGCTCCGGGGTCGCCTGGGTCGGGCGCCACGCAGATCTGGCCGCTCGGAGGCCATTGCCGCGCAGCCCAGCGGAGGGGCCGGGCGGTCAAGCGCTCCCCCGACGGCCCCGGCGCCGCTGCCCCTCGCCCCCGCCCCCCCTTCCCCGGGCGGCAGCGCAGCTCATCCCAGGCAACCCTCGCCCGGGAGCCCCGGAAGGCGCCCCCTCCCCGAGCGCTCCGGCTCCCCAAGGGCGCCCCTCGAGCCGGCGGCTTCTGCCCCGGGACGCGGGCCAGGCGGCGGGCGCTGAAGCCGCAGGTGGCGCAGCCTTTGTGGGCCAAGCGCTCGGCCGGGACCGGCAGGTAGACGGCTCGCTCGCGAGGGCTGCTCCGGCCCGCCCCGTCCGGCCGCACCTGCCGATCCCGCGGCGCAAGAGCGGGGAGGGCGAGGCCGCCGGGCGCCGCCCCCTCTTCCCTGGGGCGGGGCTTCCAGCGCGGGCGGAGCCTCACCTGCCACAACCGGAGCGGCAGCCTGGCCGAGGCAAAGTTTGCGGGCTTGGCAACCGCGCGCACCTCCTCTCGCTGCGATGGGGACCCAGGCGGGGCTCGGCCTGCTGCTGCTGCTGCTGCTGCTCCAGGTAAGACGGGGCCCCCGGGCGCTGGAGCCCCTCTCTCCTTCGGGTTAGCCGTGCTGGGAGCCCTCCGAGGCAGCGGCTGGTGGGTCTCTTTCCCGCCTTGAGTTCCGGGAGCCCCTCGGCTCCTCTTCCCCGCCCACCCAGTGCTGGGGCCCGAGGGCGCCTCTCTCCCCCTTCCAGGGAGGCTCCCCCTCGGACTTTGGGACCCCAGTGGGGGCTCCGGGGCTTGGCAGGGGGCTTCCTCCGGATGAGCGGGTCATGGGAACTCCGCTATTGGGTTGGGCACCCCCCCCCCAACTCCCCTCACTCCTGTCTTTGGCTTCCAGGGTGAAAAGGGGCTCAGCCAGGATGGGGCAGCGGCCTCTTGCCGGCCAGGATTCAGCTTGGAGGCCTACCTGTTCCGGGTGCCCAGGCGAGACTTGGAGAGGGGCCGGATGTTGGGCAGAGGTGAGAGAGCCCCTGAGTGCTGCTGGCTGCCCAGTCTTGGGTGGGGGCCTGAGGGGGCTGAGGGAGAGAGTGAATGGTGCTGCCCCCTTCCAGGTGGAGGAAGGAGAGGAGATTCGGGTTGCATTCAGATCCCTTCTCCATTTCCTGCTTTCTGAAAGGGAAAGTGGTAGCTCTTTGGGGAATCTGTAAAATGGGTGTGTCAACCTTCCGCCTCTCTTAAGAGGGAGAACCACTCAGGCAAGCATTAAAAGGGGGAGTTTCTGTCCAGAAGGATGAATTTCAGTCCTCAAAAAGCTCCTTCGGCTCCATTAGGCCGAGCACTTCACGCATGAGGGTTGACTATACTGCTTACTAATTTATTTGTTTTAGTTTTTATTGATTTTTCTGGTAACGTTTTTCAATGATGTTGCCATCCATCCAGAATTCAGTGCATTGGGGCAGCTTGGAAGTATTTCCAAGAATAATTTCCACCCGCAGAGTCGCTGTCTTTTTATTAGTGGCTTCAATACATCGGTTCTGGTTTAGACCTTGTAGGCTGCCCAGATTTCTTGGAAACTTAGAAATGTACATGGCAAATAAATAAAAATATAGTAACGCTAAGAAGTTCCGAGAGAGAGAGAGAGAGAGAGAGAGAGAGAGAGAGAGAGAGAGAGAGACTCAGGTACTTTCCACCTGGCCTTTTCCTCCTTTGGCAAAGCAAGGTGGAGCTTGGCAGGAGGGGGAGGCCTGCTTCTCCTTGCAGCTGTGCAGGGTTGGGCCTGCACAGGCTCTGTGTGTGTCTGTGTGCGCGCGCACACACACAGGCACACAAGCAGTGTTTGAACGGTGATGGTTGCTTCTGGCTTCCTGCTGGCACTTCAGCCGTTGGGGTGAGCCTGAGAGGAGGTGGCTGCTGCCCCTTGAGTTGTGTCAACAGCCTCTGGTGAATCATTTACTTGGCTGAGCCGCTCTGCAGGCCTGATTTCTCAGCCCTGCTTCAAAAAGTCCCTCCGAGCTGACCTTGCCTCCCAGCGCAAACTGAGCAGGGATCCAAGCTGCTTTCTCGACCCCTGGCCTGGCCCTCCCCCTGAAACACTGGGCTGGCCCTGGTTTTGTGATCTGGGCACTTCCACTGTTCACATCCGGTGCTCGAGGCAGCAGCCAAACCAGGGTGCTCTTTTGCAAAACTGGGGAGTTAACTCCAGCCCCAGCCTCTCCGGGGCTCTCAGTGCATCACGTTAGGATGATTTCATTCCGTGTGTTCTCGTGTATTTCCGTGTACTTATGCCAGCTTCTTTAACTTCAGCTCCCAGAAAAGTTTTTCTGTGTGTGCTTTGCTAGTTAGGAAGACCAGAGTGTGGCTGGTGTGGGAGGATCAGTTCAGGAGGACCTCCAGGTGGCTACTGATAAGTGTGACAGGAAGAGCCTGCCCCAAAGAGGGACCGGCAGGGTTTTCGGTCTCGGTGGTGGAGACAGGTGGAGGATGCAGAAGGCTGCGCAGGTGCCGCAAAAGGAAAGGAACCCAGAGTTTCTACTCTTTGTGGGTCTGAGAGGAGGGAACCCCTCCAGCAAAAAGTGAATATTGTTTCATTACAGCACCTGTGTCTCAGTTTTAAAATGTTACAGCTTCTTTACACACAAGAAGCACCCAAACCCCTTCTGCATAAAATAAGACTACCAAAGCATCACATACTTTGGTAGGTTGTCCTTCGTTCATTTCTTTCTGGGAAGCTTTGGTTATTCAGTGGCTTCCGTGAAACAAAATGAGAGGCCAAACCAAGTTAAACTACCACGGATTGTCCACGAAAGCTCCTTACACTCCCACTTGGGTGCCGACAAATGTCCTCTCTGTGCCTAGGAATTTTAAATATTTTCTTGGCTGCCTACAGAGCAAAAAAAGCATGAAACATTTTCCAGCGTTCTAAGGTTTCCATGGATAATTCTGGGGGCCTTGAAGCCCTTGGGATCATCTGCAGAAGCAGGATTGTCAAAGCCCCCCAGTAGAGCAAAACTCGTCTAGTGGGTTTGCCTGGTTCACCCGATGTTCTACCAGCTCCTCTACCCAGGTGCCCTCCAGAAGGATATATCCTCTTCCCAGAAGGGCTGGGAAGCCAGGGGAACCAAGTGGGGAAGAGGCTGATCTGAAATGGGGCATCTCCCCATCTTCAAGCCTTGTGTTTGTGAGAGGACGTCTCTCTCGGCTGGCATCGTGTTGGCCTGCGAGCTCTGGCCTGTGCAGTGCTTGGGAGCTTCCTTAGAACCGGGCCTTGGGGCGCTTGGGACTCCCCTGAATCAGTCTTTGAGGTCACTTGCATCCACAGGGCCTTTATTGGGATAAATCGCCCGTTCCATAGTCACCTTGCTTCCTTTTCCAGTCTGAACTGGAGCTGACACTGATTGCTGCTGTGACTAATAAAAGGACTTGAACCTTTATTCTTCGTAGTTTTTTAAGGTGTGGCATCAAACTTTCAAACTTTGAAAGGCGGCTAAAGGGGGCCACCGCCCTGAACTGAGTTCTTTGTCATGTGATGGCTCTTCCGAATCCCCTGGAGCCAGGAAAGAAAAGAAAAGGGGCCGCTCTGGGTGTCCCTGGTCTGCTTCCGGAGGGGTCTCTCCTTCCTGGGATTGTGGGTCACCTTTGCCTCAGTTTCCTCTGCGATTTTCCAGGTCCAGCTAGCGTGGTCTGCGTGCGAAAGAGGCTCCCCTTTGCCAGATGGGGCTAGTTGGGGACTAGGTGGCCATTGGTGGGGCATGTTTGAGGTTCAGTCCTTGTGTTGGGCTGAGACTAGGAGTTGATGACCTCAAGGGCCCCTTCGAATTGAGTGTTTCGTGACATAGCATGTGAATGTGTATGACACACATGCAATACTTTATTATTCGCACATTGCAACATTTGAAGGAAGCTGAGTCAAGTTCCAGTGCATCTCTGGCGTGACTCCTTCTCCTTCCTGTGGTTTTTCCTGAGATTTTGGTGCCGTCGGCTCCGGTTGTTTTGCAAGAGGTTCGGTCAGATGAGGCAGAGCCTTGATTCACGCCTCTGCCCTGGATGGACTTGGTGGCCTTAAATCCACCAGACCCTAAAATCGGCCTCCTTTGTCCAGAGGTCTGCCCTCTTGGGGGACTCATGTTCTGCTCGGCCTCTGGAGGCTGCTGATGAGATGGTTTGTTTCAAAATCTTGGCTTAGAGATTCTCGGCATATCTCAGAAATCATACATACATCCACAAGAAGCTACCTAAGACAATCCGAGCTGCACTGAGGGCGTTGCGTGAGAGATGGAGCACCTGGTCTTCCCCTGGCCTGATTACGCACCTTATGCAAATGAGGCCCGAGGGTGGATGGTCAAGAGACGCCCGTCTGGCACTCGGAGCCCAGGGGCCACATCTCTGCCAATGAAAGAGGAAAGCCAGCCGGCTCCAGGCTGGCACACCCGGCGGTTTGGGAATGGGTATAATCAGGCAGCCGGTGGGCCCCAAGGGGGGGGGGCACCCCTAGCCAGTGCTCAGGCCGCCCTCAGGCCTGGCAGGGAGTGGGCCTGGGTCCCACTTGAAAGGTCCCGCTGCCCCCTCAGAGCCCTGCAGGGCCCTGCAGGGCCCAGGGTTTCAAGCCCAACTACGGCAGCTGCCTCGCTGGTTCCATGGCTCAGCCTAGTTGGCGATGCCAGCTGGGTCTCCCTGAGCCTTGCGCTCAAGGTGGGCCTAAGGAAGGAGGTGCCATTTCAGGGAGGCAGGTTGTGGGCAGACAGAAGCTGCCGCTTCGCACGGGCAGCCCTTGGGGGCTCCTCATGCAGGCAAGGCTTCCTCCTGGAGCCCCAGAGGGGTCTTCCTCGGTCCTTTGCTGCACCTCCAGGATTTGCCTGCCCCTCCCCCACAAGTGACCCGGTTCACCCGATTAAGGGAGACTTTTCAGGGCCGGGAAACTCCCGCCAGGCGGGCCAAGGCTTCCGTCCTCTGAATCAGCTTTCAGGTGAAACTCTTGTTCTGCCACTTGGAAAGTCATGGCGAAACTCCAGGATGAGGTCACTGCTCGAGAGTCTGGCTCCTGCCCCGGGAGGGGGGGGAATTGTCCCCCTCTGACACATCCAAGGCACCGGCTGACCTTCCCTCTCGGGCTGTGGGAGTGACGTCATGGCCCTTGGTGGCCTTTGGCTCCCTGGACTCCCTTCCTGGCTCTGCTCCTTGTGCCTGGATCTGGCTTCCTTTCATGGCCAGCCGGGCATCGGGCAGCCCAGAGCCTTGAAGCACCACTGGAAGCAGCGATTCCGCTGCTAGGCAGGCAAGTGAGTCGTCCGACTTTACGGCCTTCTTTGCCGCCTGTTATTAAGCGAGTCACTGAAGCTGTTAAGTGAACCAAGTGGTCATTTAGCGAATCCAGCTTCCCCCATTGGCTGGGAAGGTTGCAAATGGTGATCATGTGACCCCAGGCCCTGCAGCTGTCCCAAAAACATGGCCGTAGCCAAGTACCCAAATTGTGACGGTCGTAAGCAGGAGGGCCGCCTGTCAGCTGGTTTCTTCAGAGCTAGACAAGGACTCCCTGGAGCTCTGGAGCAGCAGCAGCAGCAGAGGGGGGGGGGGCGGCTCTTCTTCCTCCTGGCCAGAATTGGACGGGAGAGACTTTCGCATGCTCTGCTTTCTTGAAGGTGCCTTGAGTTCCGCAGGTCCTTGGAGTGTGCTGCTGTCCGTCGGGACTTTCCCTTTGGGAAGGGGCTCCTCCTGACCTTCGGGGGAGGGGAGAGCCTGTGTCCCCCCCCCCCCCCCCGTGTGATTCTTTTCTGCTTATCCCGGCTGGATGAGGAAGTGGGGCCTTTTTTGTGGTTTTGATGTGCCCCTCCCTGAGCTGGAATGTGGGAAGATGACGAGGGTTGTTTGCTTCCCCTGATAAAGGCTCCGAGGAAGCTCTGCCCATATTTGGCCTTGCATGGAGGGACTGAAATGGGGAAGGGGGAGATCCCCGCCAGCCCTTGTTCACCTCTGTTCCCAGGCAGTGCCCTTCGTCTCTGCTTTTTCCCCTTGGAGGGCCAGGGAACTTCGCTCCTCCTCCTGAGTGGAGAGAAGAGCCTGCTTTGAGGGGCAGGGGCCCTTCGGCCCAGTGGCCCCTTGCCAGGATCTCCTCACAGGGAAGGCGGCCTCTGGGCTCAGAGCCGGTTCTCACGGCTTCCCCCTTGGACTGCAAAGGATTGGGGCCCCTCCCAGGCGCCCTGGAGGGTTTGGGTCTCGCAGAGGAGCCCAGAGTTGCGGTCAGTCCTGTGGCTGCAGAGACCTGGCTGGACGTTGCTGTGTCCAGGCGCTGCTCTTCTCTGAAACACAGAAAAGGGGCTTTTGAGCCCACCTTCCCAGGACTGGAGACCTTTTAAAGAAGAAAAGCGAGGTCCCACGATGGCTGTGACACCAATAAAATCACAAGATTTACTACATTAAAAACAACAACAGCCAACCGCTTTTCTTTTTTGAGGAATCCAGGGAATTAAGGTCTGGGCTGGAATGAAAACGTGGCCATACATTGCAAGGCCGAAAAACACCCCAAAAGCCTTCAGCGTGCAGGGGTTTCATAGGTTTACCCAAAACTCTTCTCGTCTGCCTGGAAAGACAGAGGCTTCTGCAGGTTAAATGCCTTTCTGGGCAAGTCTGGGGCCAAGGAGGACCATTGTTTGCTCCCTTCACCCAACCCCTCCCCCCCAGAAGGGAAGGAGACACCAGAGGTTGCCAGCCTCTCCCCCCCCCACACACACTCAGGTCTGCACTGCTGCAGGAGAGATGGGAGATGGGGGGGAGGGGTCATGCCCTGAAGCGAGGCTTTCCACCCCCACCCCTGCACCTTCTGGAGGGGACATTCCTATGCAGGAGAGCTTGGGATTGGGGTCCAGTGGGAGGGGATTTCCCCTGGGGCCCCCCTTTCCCACCCTTGGCCTCTTCCAGTGGTGGGGGTGTGGCCTGCGATGAGAACACACACACACACACACACACACACACACACACACACACACATGCCAGTGGACCCTCCCCTGCGGAGCCTGCCTGGACTTGCACAGATGGGGGGGGGAGGGGACAGGCGCTCCTCCCAGGGCAAGACAAACCCTCTCCTGCCCCGGCACAGGAATTGAGCGCCGCTCCTCCCAAAGTAGGCTGGCTGGAGGAACCAGCTTGAGTCCCTCCACGCCCTCTGCCTTCCCTGCCCCCCCCCCCCCCGCCCCAGCCCAGGCATGCTGGCAGGACTGCTGTGTGCCCAGGTGGCTTCTGGGCCTCAGAGTCCAGGGCTGAGCCTCCCTGGGGCCCCAGGGCCAGAGGAGGGAGGGGGCAGTCCAGCCTCTCACTCAGGTGGCCCCTCCCAGCCGCTTCTTGTGGAAAGAGAATGGGCCCCGGAGCGGATGAGAGAGAGAAGGAGGACTCCCAAAAGTGAGGTTGCCTCTGGAGAAACCAAGAGGGGGCTGGGAGAGCTTGCGGGGGGGGGGAGGGGAGATCTTTGGAAAGGTGCTTCCCTGCCCCACGTCTGCAGGGAAAGACCCCCCCCCTCATGTTCTCTGAAGGAGCCCTGGGGATTCCCAGCACAAGACCGGTCCTGAGCCTGCCTTTCCAGCTTCTCCCCTTCTCAGCAAGGAGGTTGGGGGAACAGGCCAACCACTGACCCTCCTGGACCTGGACATCCTCCCGCACGCTGGCCGCATCAGCCTGTCCGGTGGGACTTTGGGAGCCAAAAGCTTGGAGGGGAGTTCCCTGGACCGAAGGGCCTCTCTCTGGCCAGGCTGCAGCCTTCGTCCGGAGGGGGGAGAGGAGGCCGCCTTTTCCTGAGGAGAAGTCAAAGGGCAGCACCTGGTCTGGTTTCCTTAAAGAGACCCAGAGCTTCAAGCGTATTTCCCACCAGCCAGCGGCTCACTTCTGCTTGGGGTTTTGCACCAGCAACCTCCTTTTTGTGTTTGGTCTCACAGCTGTATTAATCCCAACCTCCCTGGGTATCCCTCAGTCTGGGGGAGGGGGGTCTTGCCCTTGGTGGGTATTCCTGGGCGGGGCTGCCCCTGCCCCACATTGCAATAGCACTTAGATTTCTATACCGCTTTCCAGCCCTCTCTAAGCAGTTGGCAGAGTCAGCCTCTTGCCCCCAACAATCTGGGTCCTCATTTGACCCACCTCGGAAGGATGGAAGGATGAGTCAACCTGGAGCCTGGTGACATTCGAACTGCTAAATTGCAGGCAGACGGCAGTCTTCAGAAGTAGCCTGCAGTACTGCACTCTGACCACTGTGCCACATGGCACATTGATTCAGCTCCAGCAGCTCCGCCGAGTCAGTCTCCCTTTCATGAAATTGACCTTCTGGGGACCCCAGTCAGTGTCCATTGACTTGGTCGGGGTGTGTGTGTGTGTGTGTGTCTGTGGAGTCTCTCCCTTGTCCAACACTCCCTGCTCTTTGGACTCCGGCTTCTGCCGGCCATCCCAGAGAGGGAGGCTCTTCTCTGGGCTGGGCTGGGAAAGCAGATGTTCCCCGGAGGGGTCACCTAGCAAGTCTCACACACCCGATTCAGCCTCCCGGGCAGCAACCGGCTTGGCAGAGATCCTTAAGCTGCACAGTCAGCATGATAAACCTCCATCGTTTGTGGTGGCCATAGAAACCAGGCGCCTTTGGGTCCAATGTGCTGTGGGAGCCCAGCCTGGCTGGTCACTTTGGAGTTTGACCGGTGGGGAGTGAATGGCATGAACCATGTTTGCCATCCAGGGGCTGCGTATTTTGAAGCATCAGGTCCCGGGAAGTGGGGAGCAGCCATTGGCAGAATCTGCCTGGTTAGGGGCTTGGATCTCTTTCTCTGGAGCGGGGTCTGCTCATCCTCCTTGGGGGGAGGGAGGCCTTGGAGAGAAGCCCTCACCCTCATCACCAGGGCATGAAGAGAACGAGCCCGGTGGCGACTGGCACATCCCCTTGGGCTCAACATCCCGCCAGGCTTAGCAGGCCTCAGGCTGGGAGGGAGGCAGTGCCTATGGCAGGCCACGAAGTCCGTTTTTCTCCTGCAGCGATGCGGGAGGTGAGCTGAGGTGGCTGGAGAGAAGCAGCCCCTGTGCCAGGATGCCCTGCGGCTGCCTCCTCCCCTCCCGCCTGGTGAGTCTTGCAGGCTCCCAGCCAGGCTGAGCTGGAGGCTGGGAGGGGCGGCCAAACCACTGTGTTTGTGTTTGAAAAGCGGCCTCTGCTTGTAGCGGTGCCACACTGGCGCCCCCTGGTGAGCAGAGTTGGCCAAGGCAGCTTGGCAAGAGCAGGCTGGTGATCCTTATTTTTGTATTTGTTTGATGAACATGTATTAGGTAACAAATATAAGTATAAACATGATTATTGGACAGGGATGATAGGCACGTTGGTGCGCTTATGCACACCCCTTACAGATCTCTTAGGAAAAGGGTGAGGTCAACAGTAGGTTGAAGTTTTGGGGGCTTGGGGAAGAAACCACAGAGTCAGGTGGAGTATTCCAGGCATCGAGCACTCTGTTCCTGCCTGCCTGGGCTCCTGGGTCACGGTCTCCGGCTGTCTTTCTCGCCCTTCCAGTGGACTTTGAGGGTTGCGCAGGGAGGAGCCCAGGAGCCTTCCTTTCCCAGGACACGCGCTTCAAGTTGCATCCAGATGGCACAGTTGTGGTGAAACGGGCCCTGCACCTCCACAACCAGGAACTGAGCTTCCTTGTCCACACGTGGGACCTGGAAGGCAGGAAACATTCGGCCAGAGTGACCCTGCAGCTCCAGCACCAAGGCCATCACCGGCTGCTTCCTCATGGGGTATGCACCCCCTTTCCCTGCTTCCTTGGGGGGAGAAGTTGCTGGTCTTTGGAGCCTGCTCTTTCCTTGCTTGCTTGCAGAACCAGAGAGCCCTGTCTTTCTTCACAGGAGACCGGTCCGTCTGCTCACGGGGAGGTGCTGTATTTTCCAAAGTCTTCATCTGGCCTGAGGCGGCAGAAGAGAGACTGGGTCATCCCTCCGATTCTTTGCTCTGAGAATGAGAGGGGCCCTTTCCCCAAAAAACTGGTGCAGGTAAGGACTTTGCTTCTGCTGGGATTCTCTTGCACCTTTTAAAGTTAGGCAGCAAATGACCCACAAATGCAGGGCCCCAAACATTGCAGCTTGTGGCAGCGCTGGGTGCACATTTGCCCTAAACCCCTTGGCTCTCACTTCAGCCGGAGCTCGGGGCCTGCATTTCTGCCCCGGGCCAGGCAACGCAGCTGCCCCAGAGGGTGGGGAGGGCTGCAGGCCCACCCCGGTCCCTGACCCGATCTCCACCCCAATCAGATCAAGTCCAGCAAAGACAAAGAAAGCATCGTCTACTACAGCATCACTGGGCAGGGGGCCGACATCCCTCCGGTCGGCACCTTCATCATCGAGAGAGAAACCGGCACGCTGAAGGTGACCCGCCCACTGGACAGGGAGAAGATTCCCCGCTACGTGGTGAGTCCACATGGCCTGCTGTGGTTATACATGTTGCTTTCAATTTTGGGTGGCTGCACTGGGTGGCGGAAGAGCGCCTGGAAATCGGCCATGGGGATTGGGTGGGAGGGCAAAGGTCATTGCGTCCTCCAGGATGCCAGGACAGCTGGGTCCCTTTTGGGTGGCAGAGGGGTTTCGTCCCTACCAGAAAGCCCACGAAGGAACCCCGTTTAGAAGCAGGCGACTCTGGAGGGAAGCCACCACTTTCCTAAAGTGCCTGTTTATTCCTGTCCAAAATGCTGGAAATGTAAAAGCATAGAAGGAACCTTTTTTCACATGTGGTGGTCTTGCAAGGAAACCCAGAAATATTGGCAAAAAATCAGAAAATGGTTGGAGGAGATAACCAAAGAACAAATCGAATACAAACCAGAGTTCTTCCTACTAGGGATCTCTGACAAACATTTATCCAAAAAGATGAAATATGTAACAATTCATATTTTAACTGCGGCCAGATTAGCGTTTGTTCAGTGTTGGAAATCACCTTATACACCTACAGAACAAATGGTTATCCAGAAAATATGTGATTGTGCAGAAATGGACAAATTAACTATAGCACTTAAAAATAAAGAGCCTTTCAACATTTTACGATAATTGGAACTCTTGGTATAATTGGTTAATCCAGAGATAAACTGCTTAAAAGACAATGGGTAATTTAAGCATAGAAATCGATAAGATGTGCGTATTCAAATTAAGTTAGGAGAATTGGATCTTGCAGACTGTCAAAAAGGATATTGTCTGTTTTTAAATGTATTCTTTTCATTTCTTTTTCTCTTTCTTTGTTTCTTCCTTTCTTTTATATCTCTCCTTCTCTTATCTTTCCGGTTCGTAAGGCCGAGTTTTTCCCCCCTTTTTTGTGTATGTAATGTCGATATGTTTTTAATTGTAAGTTTAATAAAATTTATTTTTTAAAAAAAGAAGAAGCAGGCGACTCTGGAGGGAAGCCACCACTTTCCTAAAGTGCCTGTTTATTCCTGTCCAAGAAAAGTTCCCGTCTCCTGTCGTGGTGGCCCCAAGGGGCCTGAGGGGCTCCCGGGACCCCCGTCCCAGGCCTTCCGAGGGCATCCCTTGTCCTTCGGGGCAGCCTCTGCAGAGCTGGCAGCGCTGGGTGCCAAGGACTGTTGAGCTCTGTGAAAGAGGCTGCCTGGCTGCATCTCTGGCTTCTCTTCTCACCCCTGGTGAATAACGGCCTTTCTCCCCTGCAGATGCTTTGCCACGCGGTGTTAGCCAATGGCCAGACAGCAGAGGACCCCATGGAGATCATCATCAATGTTGGCGACCAGAATGACAACCGTCCAGTGTTCACCCAGAGCGTCTTCGAAGGGTCCGTGGAAGAGGGAGCTAAACCAGGTAGGGGAGTCTGGGTGAGGACACAAGACCCTGGATCCTGTTGCGTGGCTGCCCTCTGTGCCACAGGCACAATCCCTCCAGGACAGGGAAGGACAGTCCTGTCGAAGCCCTCCAGACCGCCCCCTCAGGCCAATGCCCGCCCAGCCATGCCCCTGTGGGATTAAGCAGACAGTCTCTGTGACAGCTGGGAGGCGCGGAGGGAGCTGGGCTCATGCTCGACTCCGGCGCTTGTTTCAAGGGAGCCCCTTTAAGCAGCCCTCCTTCCCCAGGAACGTCGGTGATGACAGTGACGGCCACGGATGCAGACGACGCCATAGACTCCTATAATGGCGTCATCACTTACTCCATCCTCAGCCAGGAACCGGAGCCGGAAAAACAGATGTTCACCATCAGTAACGAAACAGGCCTGATCAGCGTGGTTGTGTCCGGTCTGGACCGAGAGGTGAATGCCGGGTGTTGGGACAGGTTGGGGGGGGGAGGGGCCCAAGCAAACCTTTTCTAAGATGGGAATTAATCGGGGAGGTGGGCTGCATCTCTGTCGTCCATTTTCTACTGCTTCAATCCCAAGTGAGCCAGGGAAGAATCCTTGTTTGGCCCTGAAGGGAGAGATTGTTAGCTCTCCAAGGCAGCCCAGGCAGAAGCAGAACTGTGTGAGGGCTACCCACCCGCACAGACAATTGCAGTGTTTGGTTCTTTGCAGAGGATCCCCCAGTACACGCTAGTTCTGCAAGCGACTGACCTGCTGGGAGAAGGCTTGAGCACCACCGCGAAGGCTGTGATCACCATCACCGACGCAAATGACAACCCGCCAATCTTCGATCCTTTAATGGTAATGTGGGAGCCTGCCCCCTCCCACCCTTGGCCATGCTGGGGTTGCCCTGGGGCCTGAAGGCCATCTCCCTGTCACGCAGAAGCACCCAGCCGTGTCCTGCACTTCCTCTGCAGAGGCGCTGGGCGGGATTTGTGGCTCTCCGTTCCCTGGAGTCGGACCTCCCCCCACCCCGGTGGAGACTGGCCCTTGCTCCCCTCTGACGGCTCTGTCTCCTTTCAGTACAATGTGGTTGTGCCAGAGAATGAGGTGGGGGCCCTGGTGGCCACCCTGAAGGTCAGTGATAAAGATGAGGAGAATAGCTTAGCTTGGAAAGCCAAGTACAGCATCGTGAAAGGGGACGAGGAGGCGAACTTTGCGATCACTACAGACCCGGACACCAACAATGGTCTTTTGACCACGGCCAAGGTGAGCGGTGGGCCCCTCTTTGTGGGGGCTAGAATCCTGCGTGTCCCCAGCCCCATATCCCACTGGAGTGTCCGGCAGTTCCACTTAGGCCAAGTCAACCCTCCTTTTCTACCTCCTTCTGTCCTTCCAGGAACTGGATTATGAGACCCAAAGGCAGTATATTCTCCAAGTGACCGTAGTAAATGAGGTTGACTTCTCGGTCATTCTCTCGACGTCCACGGCCACCGTCACCGTCAATGTGAGCGATAAAAATGAACCCCCAGTCTTCATTCCCCCCGAACTGAAGGTGTCAAAGCCCGAAGATCTTTCTGTTGGCGAAACCGTAGCTCAGTACACAGCCCAGGACCCTGACAGGTTCCTGCAGCAGACACTCAGGTAGGGGGCTGTGTGGAGATGCTTGTGGCAAGGTCCATCATTTGAACGGGGAAACCCGGAAGGTCTGCAGGCCGCTTGTCCCAAAGACGCTGGCTGAGCCCGGGGCCCTTTCCCTTGCAGATACTCAGTGAGGAGTGACCCTGCTGGCTGGCTGAAAATTGACCCCGAAACTGGCATGATTAAGTCAAAAGCCCCCCTAGACCGAGAGTCAGCTTTTGTGAAGGATGATATCTACAAAGCCATCATTGTGGCAAGCGACAATGGTAAGCTTCCCCCTCCCCCAAACTCTGCATTTTGTCTTGCACCCAAACCCCAAAAAACCCCTGGGGAACTGGGAAGGGGGGGGGAATTGAGCAATGGTGCCACCCAAGTATACGCATTTGTGGAACTGACCCGCCCTCCCCTCTCTGTCCAGCGAACAAGCCGGCCACCGGCACAGGGACTCTCCTTTTGCATCTGGAGGACGTGAACGACAACTGGCCAGAACCGGATCCCCGAATGTTTGACATCTGCAGCCGCAGTCCAGAGCCCCAGGTGTTAAGCATTGTGGACAAGGATATGCCACCCAACACCAGCCCCTTCCTCGCCATGCTGGAATTTGACTCTGGTGCCAATTGGACAGTCAAGACCAACCAAGGTAGGCAGAGGCAGTAGCTGCGCTCCACAAAACAAGGGAAGCGCCTGGACACACGGCATCAAAACTTCCTGCTTTCCTCTGAATTCTTTCCTCCTTCTCCTCTCCAAAATGTGCATTCAAGTATTAGAGGGAGACTCATTAATGACTTCATTAGGTTTTTTAATTAGTGTTTTAGAGCACGGCTCTATGCAGCTCTGACTCACATTCCGAGTGTGTGTCCTTTGCAGATAGTCTGACCCTTAACCTGGTCAAGCAGCTGGAGCCTGGGGAATACAACATCGCCCTCAAGCTGACCGATGGCCAGGGGCTCTCTCACGTCACCACGGTCAAAGCCATGGTCTGCAACTGTGAGGGGTCTGCCAAAACCTGCGACCGAAAGGCGTTTCTGCCAGCGGCAATAGAGACCTCTGCCATTCTGGGCATCCTCGGGGGCATCCTCGCCCTTCTGAGTGAGTACGGCACTTCCTTTCTCCCCGTCCCCCCTGGGGAAGCTGGGCGGCTCCTCTTATGGCCCCCACTTCGGCCGGACGAGGGCTCCCTGCTTGTGGCTGACAGGGCCTCCCGAACTGCCTTGCAGTCCTGCTGCTGCTGCTGCTGCTGTTCGTGAGGAGGAGAAGGCAGGTGAAGGAGCCGCTGCTCCTCCCCGAGGACGACACGAGGGACAATGTCTACTACTACGACGAAGAAGGCGGAGGGGAAGAGGACCAGGTGGGCCTCTGGCTTTGGGCTCCTCGGTACCCCCCCACCCCGGTCCCTGGGCCTGAGCTGGGCTCCTGCTCCCCATGGCCTTTTCTTCCTGCTCCTGCAGCAGCTGGGAGGGCCGGTCACCCAGCATGGTGGTCCCACTTGACACCCACACACCCACACCCAGGGCTGGCATGGAGCTTCTGAGAGGGCCGGGCATTTGCTTGGTTTACCTCGGCCATCCCGCTTGCACATTCCTCCGCAGCTCTGATAAAAACGACTTATCTAAGCTGCGTTTTAGAAAGGGATCCCTGGAAAGTGAGGGCTACGGTGGAAGGAAGAGTGACCAAACAAAACCATTTTGTTCTTCCAAGGGAAGGAAGAAAGGTCCTCTGTTCACTGTCTGTGCTGGAGGAAGGGTGTCTTCCTGCCTGTCTGCCAGAATCACCCCTGATTCTGCTCAGCTCAGTCCTGGAGTTTCCTTCCTCTGCTCAAGAGCCTGAGGCCGTCTTCTCCTCCTAGGATTTCGATCTGAGCCAGTTGCATCGAGGCCTGGATGCCCGCCCTGAAATCACCCGGAATGACGTTGTTCCAACCCTCATGCCGGCCCCGCAGTACCGTCCACGCCCTGCCAATCCCGACGAGATAGGAAATTTCATCGACGAGGTGAGTGGCACCGGGAGCCCAGTTCCCAGGCATTTCAGGGGCGCAAGCCTTCCGTGAGAAGCAGAACGTGGGCACGGAAGCTAAATCCTAGTGGCTGAATAGATGCAGCCTGCATAGAGACGCCCTGCTCTCTTGAGCTTCTCCAAAGATTTGGTGAGCCCTTTGTCGTTGTTCCTCAACTTGAGCAGCTTTAAGACATGCGGCTGGGGAACTCTGGGAGTTGAAGTACACGTGTCTTAAAGTTGTCCCGGTTGAGAAAGTCTGTTGTAGAGAGATGCTTATGCGCTCATCAGCTCCCTCCGCTGTTCAACCAATGGAAGTTTTGTCCGTTTCCCTTCCTGCAGAACCTGAAGGCGGCGGACATGGACCCCACGGCTCCCCCTTATGACTCTCTGCTGGTGTTTGATTATGAAGGCAATGGCTCCGAGGCCACCTCGCTCAGTTCCCTCAACTCCTCCCATGGAGACCAGGACCAAGATTATGATTACTTGAATGACTGGGGAAACCGCTTCAAGAAGCTGGCTGACATGTATGGGGGGGGCGAGGAAGAGGACTAGGGGTGACTGGAGAGGGGCCTAGGTGTGGGGGCAGAAGGCTAGAAGGGAGAGAGAATAGAGCTGACTCTTGGTAACTCTTGCCAACTTTTCCACAATTTACCAAAACGTACACAAGAGATTCCCCCTTGAAGAAGATTCCGACAATCTCGCCTGTGTGGGATAATTATAATCAGGGTGGCCTTACTGAGGCTGATTCAATGCAATACGGAGTTTCTTTCTCAAAGGCTGGACACCCTCGGGGGGAAAAGGCCTCCCCAGGAAAGAGAAAAGTGTCTGAAATCTGTAAAGGGCAGATTTCGGTCTTGTATTCAAAAAGTTTCACCCGAGTGTCTCTACTGTCTTAATCTATCCTCTTGTTTACTTAAGAAGAGCATTGGGCTTCTTGGGGCAAAATTGTAATGCATCTTGGAGAATATGAGGAAAAATATGCAAGGAAACTATTTTTGTGAGGGAGAGGATAAAACACAGCAGCTAACATTATGGTCACGGAACAGAACAGAGGTTCCTATTAATGGCCCCATTGAGGGGTGAGAGCTTCTGCCTGCACAGATTGAAATCCCACAGTCTGGTTACGGTGGCTAATCATTGGAGCTTCCTCCAGGAAGAGCCCTCCAAGCATGCTGTTTCCAGAGCCCTAACCAAAAACACTTCTGGGGATTCTGCTCCTAAGTAACCTTTGGTTTCCAACCCTTGGACCTTTACTATTCAAAGGCAGCCTTGTGGGAGTGATGGGGCGTGTCTCGGAAGAGAGGCAGGATTTCTGATTTTTTTGCCACTGTTAACCAACATGGCTCTCCTCCTGGACGAATCCCCTTAGGATCCCTGAATCAACTTGTCCCAAGTGCCTTTGCTTTCAGATATTGCTTCTGCCAGACCTTTGCCTCTCCGAGGCCCGGAGTCCAATCTCTGTCGGGGGAGGCATCTGAAAAACCATCCGGCGTGATCCCTCTTACTGTGGCTTGGAAGTCAGGGTCTGTGCACTGCCTTTGAGAGCTTAATTAGTAAACCCGGTTTTAGCAGAGATGTTACTCGCCCCCCACGGTGCCTTCTCATAAAGTGCCTGAAAGGTGGGAGCAGTCCCCTTCCCTGGCCAACTCCTCCCGGCCCCTTTCGGCTTTAGGCTACCCCTTGGGCCAGAGGGGCCAGAGAGGAGCTCAGCGGTGGCTCAAAGACTGGCCCGAGTTCTTCCGCCTTGGGCCTTTGTCTGGGGACCAGGCCACACACACTCCTCTGCGGGGTCCTATAAAATACAGCTGGACAAGACGGTGTTTGTCCTCCAAGTAATCTATTTTAATTCGAACCGTTTCTTCTGCCAAGATGCCACTCGTTTCCTGTGATGTGTTTCCTACTCCTCAGCCCTGATGGTATAATTATTGCCCAATTGATGGGCGCCATTTGGAAAATAGCTTTCTAATTTTAGATCCGTATGTTAAGCTATCCTTTTGAATATATATTGTGGAAAGAATACAGAGATGCACATTTTTTAAAGTTATTTTATTGCACAGATGCTTTTAAAAAATAATAAACTATTGTTTAAAAAGTACTTCTTTTCTTGAATCTCTGTGATATTTCTTAGTCATTCTCCTGAGATGGCATGCTTTTTCTAACCTAAATGTTCTACTGACTTCAGACAGTTTTATTTTCAAAAGTCGTGGGGATGAATAACCAGATATATCCAGGGTAAAAGTACATCTTCTTTCCCAACTTGCTGTCGAATTTGTACTGTGATTTCCAACCATTCCAAAAAGCCATGCTCATTTCTAGACTTTTAACTGCAGTGGGTGTGCATGCGTGTACAATTCCGAAAGTCTTCACACAGTCAGCAAAGGACACTTGTTAGTATGAATCACAGGATCATAGTTGGAAGTGAACATAAAGGCTGCCGCGTTTGAAGGCCTTGCTCGCCTAGAGCACTTGGCTGCCTTGTTGCCCTTGAGGGTAGAAATGCAGATCTGAAGCCGGCAGCTGTCCAAGGGAGGGAAGGCGGAGGCAGCCAAGGGATTCAAGCCCTACAGATGCATCTTTGGGGCCGATAGCTCTGCTCCGCTCAAAGCATTTCCTTTTCACAGCAGAATTCTCTCTATTCCCAAGCCCTCTTCGCCTTCTGCTTCATTCCTCCACTTAGCACGAGGAACAAAAGCCTTTAAACCGGTTTTTAGCTTCGGAATGCCCTATTTTGGAACGGACTTATTACTGAAGTTCTTTCCATTTGGCAGTTTGCTTTAAGGTCCCGCAGCTAATTTTGAATAGTTTGGCCTCAGATTTACGGAAATAGTTTGATACTTTTAATGAACAAAGCCTGTTTTGCCCCTTTTGTAAGGGAGGCCCCGCACCGAGCCTGTCAACCATCATCACCCACCCAAGTTCCAAGGCTTCATCTCAAGTGAATTCAACACGCTGAGCTGCGCATGCGCCAGAAGGTCTTGCGCCGAGGACTCCCAGAATCCCTCCGGGCTGCTTCCCTTCGCCTTTCCCCGCCCCTCTCGACCTTCCCCAATGGGCAGCCGGCGGGAACTTCCGCCCTCCTCCTTCCGCCCCTCCCAAGGTGGCGTCGTCGCCGTCGCGCAGGCCCACCGGACCTTCCCAAGATGGCTGCGCCCAGGAGCGCCGAGGGCCGGGACGAGGAGGAGGAGGACGGGGCGGCGGGGCTGCAGCGGGCGGTGGGCGGCCTGCAGCTCTTGCTGGGCCGGAGCGCAGGCACCGGTGAGAGGGGCGGCGGGCTGCTTCTCTCGCCTCCCGCGCCGCAGGTCCGGGGCGCCGCGCGTGCCCTGCCCGCCGCTCCGACCGGCGCTTCCCTTCTCCCCGCAGGCCCGTCGCCGGAGTCGCTGCGCCTCGGGCTGACCGCGCTGGAGGAGAGGCTGGCCCGGGACCCCCAGTGGGCTTCCCTGCGCTGGGCGAGGACCGAGGTGGCCCAACGGGCCCCGGGGCTGAGTCCCGGCCCCGACCCGCCCTGGGCCGCGGCCTGCCAGGCGCTTCTGCTGCTGCTCTGCCTCAAGCGCTGCCTGGTCCGCCTGGCAACCGCGACCCCCGCAGCCAGCCCGGGCGAGGCCGGGGTCCCGCCTCCGCTGCGCCCGGACGCCCTGAGCATCGCCCAGGAGGGGACCGTGCAGGCGGCAGCGCAGCTGGCGGTGGCCTTGGGCCTCCGCCCTTACCTGCTGCCCGGGGTGGCGCCCCCGCCGCGGGACAAGGCCGGCCTGCTCGCCGCCCAGCCCGAAGCCCCGCGGAGGCTCCTCGCCGCCTGCAGTGCCCTGGTGGAAGTGGCCGAGCACCCTGAGCTGGGCAGGCTAATCCTGGTGCGCCACCTGGGCGACCTGCTGGCTGGGCTGGCCCAGCTAGGCTTCTGCCCCGCAAGGAAGGCCCGGGTAGGTGCCGAGATGCAGGTGAGGGTGAAGGAGCAGCCCTGGGGGTCCTGCGCGGCCGTGCCCCGTTCCCTGCCAGAAGCAGCCCGGCCGGGCTTTCCCATGAAGTGAAGCAAGTGCCTCCCTGTTTCCTCTGGGCGGTATGGAATGGGAGCGGGGACTAGCAAGCCACCCTTGGGCCCTACAGGTGAAAAGTTCTGCCGGGCAGGGAGGTGCCCGTGGGGCCCTTGCCACTGCCTTAGTTGGTTGAGCCTCTAGTTAGGGCTACTGAAGGGATATTTGGAATGAGTGCCTCTTTGCATTTCCGAGGATTCCTTCGCGTGTTTTATTTTTCTAACTCTCTGGGATTTTTTTCCAGGACCTGACCGAAGGGGAACGGAGCAGCTGCAAAGAAGCCTTGCAAGGCCTTTTGGACAAAGTGTACCAGCCCCTGGTGGTCCGGGAACTGCTGCTGCTTCAAGGGGGGGCTAAGCTGGTATGACTGTGAGCCATGGAGAAACTAGATTTGCATCCTTCCAGCTCAGCGCTGCCTCTGTGTTAGTTTAGCCGTGGCTCTGCAGAACGGGTCTTTCTCGGTCCTGCTCCTTGACGGCTTGTCCCTAGAGATCCTGTCACAGAAGTTCAACTTGGGCCTTCCTGCCTTCCTAGCACGTGGAGAGTAAACAGCCCCCAGGTCTAAATTGGGATGCGATACAATTGGACTGAGCTCCAGGGCCAACCCAGTCTTGTTAGGTGCCATCCTGGGAATCTGCTGCTAGGTGAATGGTCAGTTAACTTGAGTCCATTCTGTCTGGGGAAGGGCAAGGGATGCCCCTGTTGCCTGGTGTCAAGGCCCATCGGGGCAAGGCAGAAGAAGGGCTGCTGCACAGCAGGGCTGATCATGGTCCAGCATGCACATGTTTCTTTTTCAGGCCTCCTGTCCCAGCCAGCAGAAGAAGGAGCCTTGTATGGCATCAGCACCAGCCTGGCTTCAGCGCCTTTGTGGGCATCTGCTATCCGGGAGGCTGTTAAGACCTGGTGGAGTTCAGGCTGTGATCCGTGGCATCCTGGAGGGAGCCGGAGGTGAATGAGGCTGGACAAATCAGCCATGCAAAGGCTGGGACAACAGATAAGAGTCCTTTGTTCCAGTGTTTCTAAACTTGGCCCAGCCAAGTTTACTTATAATAGTTCCTGTCTTAATAAATAAGGATCTGCAGGAAACAGAAATATTTTGAAACTGGACAAATAACTCTGTGCCAGTGTTTTCTGGATCAGTCCAGTTTGCCAGAACCAAACCTGGACTTCTACATGGGGCAAATAAGGCAACCTGGTGCATGATCCTCCCAGGCCTTCCCCACTCACTCCAGTCAGCTGCTGCTGGCCCCTCTTCTCTGCACGGCATTCCCCACGAACCAGCTCTTCTAGGCAGAGAGCAATTAAGTCCCCCTCTTAAAAACCAGCAAGAGCAGACAGGTTGAGGAAGATCCAAGGTGACCTGGCAAGATACTGAGCAAGGCGGTTACTGCCGTGGCCTGGGTGAAGCTCCTCCTCCTCCTCCTCGTGGAGGGAATTGCAAGTCTCTCTGGCCACAGGATGGGCGGCTCTCTGTGTGCTCGTCTAACGGAGAGCCTCCTGCTTTCCAGCTGGGGCTGTAGCGGGCAGCAGTGCAGAAGCGGCAGCAGCCGACTGGCAGAAGTGCGAGGCTGTAGCCAAGATCCTGTGCTCGTGTCCTCAGCAGTCTCTGTCCCTGGAGGATTATTGTCAACAGATTTGCCCACAGGTACATCTTCTGCCCCTTCCCTTTACCCAGCGACTGGCGTTCCGGTGCAACTCGGGTGGCACAAGGACCATTTGTGAGTCAGAGCTCCCAGAGTGGCTCCTGCTCGGTGGATGCAGAGTTTCCCCTCCATCTAGTCCTTGCAAATCGACTCTTCCTGGGTTGGCCCTCAGGGCCTGCAGTTTCTGCTGAGTCTTGGAGGCCTGTGGCCCTGTTCCCCCTCTCCTCCTCCTGGCAATTTGTGATAGTGTGGGCTATAAAACGTAATTTTAGAAATAGTGCTGGTGTGCATGACAAACTTTGAGCATAAACTCTGCTTTTATCTTTTTCTTTTAAAGATTCTGCAGCTGTTTCTCATCCAGGATAAGCTGATGATGCACCAGTTCCATCGAGTGGCAACCACAACTGTCCTCGCCATGGCCAGGCAACATCCACAGCAGGCAGAGAAGCACCTGCTGCGTCCCCTGCTGGAGCCTCTCTTGCGCTGCCTGGGGGAGCCAGGTAACGGCCTCCCGCCCCCCTGAACGCTTGGCCAGGCTGGGGAGCCGGAAGATGCCTTAGCTTTTTCCTGTTTTTAGAATTCTGGAATTGTAAGCCTCCTAGAGTCACTTGGTTGAATTGGCCAGCTGTGGAGGTTGGTTAGTGGGTTGAATGACCAAACAAAGAAATTTCTGTCACCTTGGAAGGTGGGAACCTCCTTGTTTTTTCAGGGGCTTCTGTACCCAGAATTGGTGCACCTGGGATTCTTAGGCTTGGGTCTGCAGGACTGAAATGTATCCTTCCTATCCTTAGTTCTCCCATGAACTCTGGCAGCTCACCACAGTCCAGTATTAGCCGTTGAAACAGTGCTGGGCAAGACGAGCTTGGTAGTAGGCTAAGATACACTCATTGGAATCCAAGTGAGGAGGTTGGGCTGAGCAAGGGCCTGGCCCAGAGCTCCCCATCCCGTAGTTTCTAGCCTGGCCGCTGGGTGGCTGGAATTGATGGGCTGTTTTCTTCCCATTGGCCACTCATATCATGGAATATCCTTAGCTGCTCCCACATTCACGGTCCTTTTTTTGTCTTCAGAAGGTTCCCTGGGAGACATGCCAGCTGGGGCGGTGCTGGTGGGAGAGGAGTTGCTCTCGGGGTGCGTGGAAACGGTGCATAAGGTGCGGCGCCAGCACACGTGTCGGTATGCAGCGTTGGGAGGGAGCGGAAGCCACGGAAGGACCTGCAGCTGCTTTCAGACCAAACATTCCCGTGACAGAGTCGGGTTGCGTCGTCTTCCGCAGCTGTGTCCTCCCTCCTCCCTGGGCTGAAATAGGCAAAATGGTCTTCCCTGCAATGCCAGGCGGAGCCGCCGCTCCCACATGGCTTTCATGCTCAGCTCGATCCGCCTTTGCTAGCCCAGCGCTGTGGTCAGCTTGCTCTCAGTCAGCTGCCGGGCGCCAGAAATCAGCACTGCCCGGCAGCACAGCCAGCCCACCTCTGCTGAAGACGCAGGCCCTCCGAGGGTCAGCCTGATCCCAGAAGGAATAGATCCCGTTACAAACGGGGGGGCGGGGGGGGGGCTGAGCCATTAGCAGGCTCGGGGGTCTCGGGAGGCCTGTGCAAGGTTGGGGGGCTGTAAATTGAAGGGCTGGTCTTTGGCAGACACCTCGATAGCTTCAGCATTTAAGCACTGTTTACGCTCGAGAGCATCTCGGGCACTAATGAGCTGTTTCGGACAGCTGGCACACAGAAAGGGGTCCAGAAGGCCCTAAAATAGCCAGAGGTTCTTCTGCCTTTGGAATGTATATTTGCAACGTGCAGGGATCCTGGGCTGTGTGCGTGCTTGGGCAGAGTCTTCCTCCTCTCTCCCTCACAGGTCTGTGTGGTCGGGAATGAGCCCTCGCCTTGCCTCCTGGGTGCCCTGCAGCCTGCGCTGGGGGCCGTCTTCTCCCTCTGGTGCTTCACCAAGCAGAACGTGTCCTTCCTCCGGTGAGGCCCCTGGTCTGGTGGGGGAATATTCCTCCAGAGCTCTTCCGTGGCCTTGGGGGGGACAAACCTCCCTGGATGGAGGCATCTCTGGTTCCTGCCAACAGAGACCCCACCCCCCGCTGAAGGCCAGGCTCGTGTGCCCAGGAGCCGTGGGCAGTGCTGGCCTTGGCGTTTCTGCCGGGGGGGGGGGGGGGTGGTGGCAGGAACCAGAGAGAACACCCTGCTCCAAAGATCGCACCCAAGGGAAAGAGGAGAGTGGCTGGGTACGGAAGGGCAGCCAGGGGCCCGCCGGCTTTTGGGTTCCCATCGCCCAGGAGACAGACCTCCACCTCGAGCCTCTCTTCTGGGGGAGGCAGCTTGGCTTGCGGGCGTCCTGGGCTGCCTCTCCCCAAAGCCCCCTTGCCCCGGGCTGGGCTCGAAGCCCCCCCCCCCCCCCCCGGTTGTTTTCAGCACCCCCTGCCAGGAGATCTTGCTATGGTTCCTGGAGAAGAGCGAGCGACGGGCCTCTCTGGCGGCCCTGGAAGGCCTGGCAGAGCTCAGAGGGAGCCCCCGCCTGCCCCACCCCCACTGCCACTTCCGGGTGGGTGGAGGAGGGGGCGTGGTGGCCACCATCCAGGAGGCTGTGAGGTGAGAGCCTGCTGGGCCTTTAAGGGGGGGCGACTCTGACCCAGGTGGTTGCGGGGGGGGGGGTTGGGCTGCCAGGAAACCTGCCCCAGCCTCTCCTGCCTCAGGAGGGGGGTGCAGAGGGTCTCTGCGTGGTCAGTCGTGGGCAAAGGACTCTCCCTGCTCCAAGAAGGCTGGGAGAGACGGTCCAGCCCAGAGCCTCCGGGCCCCTCCCCTTCTGGGTCCCCTGGTGGAGGAAAGTTTGCTCTTTCCCTGCACAGGGACGAAGACGAGGCCCTCTACCGGAAGCTTTCGTCAGAGCAGTGGCAGCTGGAGCAGCTGGTGGACTTGCTGTCTCGCTGCCGGAGGGGCAGCCTAGCGGGAGACTTCTTCCTGGGCTGCTTAAAGGTAGGCCGGGAGCATCTCCGGGGGTCTCAGTGCAGGGTGTGTGCGCACGCGCCTTCCACAAGAGGAGGCCAGCCGTTGCCCTTCAAGGCCTCCCCCCTTCAGCCGCCAAGGGCTAATCCAGGCAGGGGAACCGCCGTTCTCTGGCCTTGGATGGGGCTGTGATTGGAGGAGGGCTCGGGTGGGTCTCATCTGGATTCCTGCTGACCTGGGTGTGTGTCGGTGTCGGTGTGTGTATCCAGTGAACCACCATTCTTCCCATCTGTGTTTTTCTGCCGTGGAGCAGGATCATATCCTGCCGGTTGTTTAGCCTCTCTCCTTCCAATGTGTGCCCCTCCCCCTTGGTGGCAGGAGCTGACCCAGGTGGCCTCTGAGGAGGACCCTGCGCCCCCTTCGCCAGCCTCCCCGCTGGATCTGGAGCAGCTCTGCCACCCAACCCTCCCCCAGCAGATGAGGCAGCTGCAGGTGCTTCGGGTGGTGGCCCTGCTGACCGAGGCCCTTTCGGACTCTTTGCTCGCAGATGTCAGGCAGGTCCGTCCCCTCCAGCCACCTGGGGTGGCCTGGCTGCTGGGCCTGAGGTTGGGCTGGGCAGGCTGCACCCGTCCTGGGGGCTGTTGAGAAATCACACTCTCCCTCCTTACCGGGGGGGGGGGGGGGGGGGGGGGGGTTGGCCTTCATTTCATCCTGAGGCCCCTGGTCGGCTGCAGAAGCGAACTGTTTTGGGGGGTGTTCCTTCCACAGGTGGTGGATTTCGTGGCAGCCACTCTGCAGCGGGCCTGTGCAGGTCTCTCCAGGGGCTCAGTGGGCCCCGTGGAGTCCCAGACGCTCAGCATGGCCATGGGGCTGGGGGCGGCCATGCTGGGGGGGGTCCTGGAGGTGAGTAGCCGGAGGGCCATCGGCTCAGGCATTGGGGCCTTCGTAGTTCCGGCAGGTGTTTCCCTTCCTGATTCTGAGCCTCTGGGCTCTGCTCATCCGCCCTTCCCCCCCTGTCCCATTCTGGTCCCTAAGGCAAAGACCCCCCCCCCCACTACCTGCAGGGGCTTTGCTGGGGGAGGGCCATGGCGGGGGGGGGCAGGCGAGGGGCTGCCAGGTCAAGCTGGCTCCCGCTGACCTGCAGGGAAGCCTCTGCCCAGCTCAGGAACGGGGTGGGGGGCCTTTCGGTTTCCCTGGGTGGGGAGGTTGGAGGGAGGAGGCGCCTTGGTCTCTGACCAGCGTTGAGGCAGGAAGCGGGGAGGGGGGATCTTGCTGAGACAGGCTGAAGCTTGGAAGCTTCCTTCGTCAAGCCCAGGCTTGCTGGGCCACGGGGGCCGGTCCCAGGCATGGTGCCTCCCTCCCCCTCCTCAGTCCCAGCTTTCAGGCCGGAGCTTGTTCCTCCTTCGCTGAAGCCGGCTGTGGTTGTGTTTCTGGTGGGTGCCAGGCGGGGAAACGCATCCCTCCCCACCCCAGGCGAGACCTCTTGAGAAATGAGGGGGAGGAGGGTTCTTGGCCATGCCCAGCAGCCCAGTAGGAATAGTGAGGGAGGGGCGAGGCCTCGGGGGTGCATCCTGGACCCTCTGCTGCCTGCCGGAGGGGGGTTCCTAGCCGGCACCCGCAAAGCTGGAGGCCTCCAGCAGCCTCAGAGGCATCCACCAAGTACCTGTGACGGGGGGGGGGGGGGGTCCTTGCCTTTTCCTGGCTCCCCCACCCGGGCTGAGCTGGAGTGCTGGCTGGGCCTTTCCTGCTGCTGGGGAAAGCGCGGTAGCTCCCTTCCCACCCCGTTGCCTGGGTGCACCTGCCAGCTTGGGGCCTGATTTTATCTGCCCTGCCAGAACCTGTGCGCACGCCCATAACGGTAACCACAGCAAAGGCTCTGGGTGCAGTGCCCCCTCCTGGCGCTCCCTGCCGGCAGCCCAGGGCCCAGTTCTCGGGATTGGCCCTGGTTCCTCCCTTGGGCAGCAGCCGGCTGACGGGCTCCCCGCTGTCTCCCCAGCTGCAGTCCGAGGACTTTGCCAGCCTGAAGCGGCTGGTGCCCCTGCTGGAGGAACTCTCCCGCCTCCACCCGGAGCCCGGCATCCAGGAGCTGGCGGCCGACTTGAGCATCTCCATCTGCACCCACCGCGCCTTTTCCAGCGAGGCCCTCTGCACCGCTGCTGGCAGGGCCCTGGGCAGGAGGGAGGGTGGGCCGGCCGGCCAAGGGAGTGCAGCTGCCAGCACAGGTGCCCCGGATGGGACCCCCAGAGCCGGGCCAGCCCTGCCCCAGGAGCCGCCCAGGAGCCGCCCAGGGGAGCCTCCGGGGATGGACAAGGACCCCCAGGACCCCCTGCAGGAGCTTCTCTCGGGGGCTTACAGCCCTGACATCCCCACGCGAGCTGCTGCCCTGCGCTGCCTCTCCCGGATGATCGAGCAGAGGGATCCCACGGCCCTGAAGACTCGGGAGAGGTTGCTGAAGGTGGGCGGCCGGAGCCCTTGGTGGGGGAATCCCTCTTTGGCCTGCCTGGGGGGGGGGGCCTTCCTGCAGAGAAGGTGGAGGGTGTCCCCTGACCTTCGTCCGGTGAAGATCCAACCGGTGCCGGTGTTTTTATCCAGCCATAATAGGTTTGAGGCAGATAGAATTAGGTTTTCAGCCACCAGGTTTCTGTTTCCTGGTGTCTCCCCCTCCCTCCCCCACTTCAGGCCTCTTGCCACCCTGCTGAGCCCCCCAACCTTGAGTGAAGAGGAAGAGTTAATTCTGCTTCCAAGCAGCCAGAATGTTGTGCCCCTGGGGGAGAGCAGCTGCCCTGGTTCCCAGGCCCGCCCAGGGCTGCTGGAGCCCAGCTGCAGAGACCCCTTCCGGTCCCCCATTTAGAAACTAGGGGGCTTCTCATTCCTGAGCAGAGCCACAACGGTGCTTCCGGGGGGGGGGGGGGGGGCAAACTCCGTGCCTGGACGGAAGGCTGCAGGCAACCTTACGCCCTGCCAAGGCGGCCTCCGCCACGAGAGGCCCAGTCGGCTGCAGCTGGGCAGGCAAAGAGATTCTTGGTTTTAATTTTCAGGTTTTTGTGGAAAACTTGGAACACGAAGACTCCTTTGTTTACCTTTCTGCTATCCAAGGTAAGCAGACCCAATCTTGCTCCTTCCTGTCCGGACCCCTCTTGGTGAATGGGGGGGGGCGGGGGGGGGGCAAATACTCCCGGAAGGAGCCCAGGCCCGGGGCGGGGGGCCCCGGGGGCCGGGGTGGAGGGGGGGGGGGGGGGGGGAAAACGCGGGGCCCCCCCCCCCCCCCGTCCCCCATCTCCGCTCCTCCTCCTCCTCTCTGCTGCTCTCCAAAGAGACCTGTTCACACACACACACACACACACACACACACACACACACCGGTTTGCTCATGACGCAAGCTGGACTTCAGCAAACAGCCCTCCTGCTTCTCCGTGGCCCCCAGCCTGGGCAGGAGACTTTCCTAGGAGAGGGGGGGGCCCTAAGGACGGGCGAGGTCCGTGGATGCCACCCCCCTGGCCGGGCTGCTGTCTTTCAGCGGGTCGACTGAACCTGTTCCAGCCGGCCCCTTCCTTGCACCTGCCTTCCTGTCTCCAGGCAGCGTCGCCTTTCTGGAGAAGCCGCCAACTCAAGGAAGCCATATCTCCCCGGCTTCCTTGGGAGGAAATGGAGGCGTTTCACAAGATCACCGGGGGTGGGGTGGCTGTGCAGGTGCCGCCCTTGCAGCCGGGCCCTTGGTGTCGACTCTGGGAGCGGCCAGGAGCGCCCTTCCTCCTCCTCTGGACTGCGCTGTGTGTCAGTAGAGCGGGGGCTCTTTGGGAGGCTCTGGGCCTGGCCAGCCCTTGGCATCCCCCCCCCTCGCCCCAACACACACAGGGTTCAGAACAGGCCCCGGAAGGCTGGTGGCACAACTTCTAGCCTTCTGGCCCTCTCCAGACGCCTCTGGGCCTGGGAGGGAAATCAGACCTGTTGGGAAGAGGCTGACAGGGAGGCGACAGGTGGCTCAGCTCCACACGCTGCTGCTCCAAGGCTCAGCACTCTGAGCGTTGCTGCTGCTGCTGCAGCCCTTCTTGAGGATCTCTTGGGGTCCCGTTTCTGTCGGGAGGGGGGGAGAAGGGCCTCCAGCCTCTGCCTGAAGCCCTAGACCAGGCCAGGTGAGCCTCCCCCACCTTCTTCCTTGCTGAGCTTCAGCAGGTGAAGGCTCCTGCCTGTGTGACTCTGGCGCTGCCAGCCTGGGGCACAAGAGCGGCTCCTTCCGCGTTGAGCAACGTGGCGGCCTTGCAACAGCCGATGAATATCCGTTGACTCAAGAGTGTTGGGAAGGGCCTCTGGGGATGGGCGGGGGGGGGGGGGGGGGGGGGGGGGGGGGGGCGGCGGGGGGCCGGGGCTTATGCGGGGGGGGCCCCTGGGAGCGGAGACCTCGGGCGTCATCCCAGGCGCTCTTGCGGGGGGGGGGGCTTCAGGGGAGGCGTGGAAAAGCTGCCCAGGGGACGGGGCCCCCCTTCCGCTCTGCCCCCTCGGCTCAGCCTGGGCTCCTGCTTCTGGCCCCTTCCAGGTGTGTCCCAGCTGTCGGAGGCCTCCCCACGAGGCGCCCTGCCCTTCCTGCTGGCCCAGTACGCGGGCGCCCCCACGGCGGAGAGCAGGATGAAGGTGGGGGAGGCGCTGATGCGCACGACGAGAGCCCTGGGTGAGCCGGCCTGCGGGGGCTGGGGGGGCGAGGGGCTCCTGGGGGCCTGGTAGCCAGCGCAGGAGGGGGCTTTTGTCCTACGGTCTCTGGCCTCGTGGCCTCCAGTAGCACCCTCTGCATTTTGAGGGAAGGCTAGGGAGCGTTTGGAGGACCTTTGGAGTGCCTGAGGGGAGGCGAGGTTTCTCCTCCTGCCAGAGCAGCTGCCCACCTTGGTCCTTGGCCTGGGGACGGTGCCTGTGCCCAAGTGCGTCTCCCAGCTTTCTGCCTGGCGGGGGGGGGGGGGGGGGGAGGGGGGGGCAAGAGCTCTCGGCAGCCCCGTAAGGGAGACGGCTGCCTCCTTGGGTCCCGGGAGCGGATCTGGCATCCAGCTTTGCCAGAGAAACATTAGGTGCATTTGGCCAAAGCACCACAGAAATCCAGAGCTGAGAGGGCTCTGTGAGGCCATAGAGTCTGACCCTCCCGCCATGCTCAGCCTAAGCGTCTCCATTAGCGCCTCATCCCGGTCTCTGGTCTCATGGGTGAGTCACTTCCTTTCTCGGCTTTGGGGCCTTTGATTTCCCGGTCAGGGAGAGCCGGGAATTCCCTGCCTGCTTCCTGGGTGTTGCCCTCGGCCGCCTTTCCCGCGTGGCTGCTTCCTCCGAGACTGAAGCTGAGGGCCTGGCCTGGCCTTGAGCCCCCTCCTCCCCTTCCGTGACCGGCTGCCCCCAGGCCCAGCAGGGCTGCTCTCCAGCTGGCACCGCCTGGGTGGGTCCCCTCCTGCCCCTCCCGCCGCCAGAGCCTGTGGGGCCCAGGCCCCTCTCACCGCTGCCCCTCCCTCCCTCCCCTCCCTCGCCCAGCCTGGTTACCTTCTGTTGAGCCTAACCCCTCATTAAGCTCCCATCTGGCCCAGATGTTTCCCCACCTGCCCCTCCCCCCTCCCCCACCTGCCTGCTCTACTGGTGGCCCCGGGAGCAGGCTGGGCTCCTTGCAGGGGCCCAGCAGCAGCAGCAGTGGGTGGCTGGGTGTCTCCTGGCTCTGGGGCTGCTTGTCTGAGGGGAGGGGTGCACCCCTTAGAGACCCCCCCCCCTTCACCTAGGAAACGCCCAGTGCATCCCGTGGGCCTTTCCCTCTCTCGACCCCCCCGCAGCCCCCCGAGGAGGCTCCCTTGGTGGGTGCTGCTCTTTGGGTCCCAGGGCTGCATTGTGGCTCTCCCTGCTCCTGGCCATTGGCAGCCTTTGGAAGCAGCAGGGGGCTCTTGGCCTCCCCCTCCCCCTTCGGCCTCCCTTCCTCGTCCCAAAAATGTCTTGTTTCCATCCCTGGAGACAGGAGGGCAACTAATGGCCTACGTGTGTACACCCCCCCCTCTGCACGCAGGGAGCCAGGGCCTTGCCCTTTCCTTCCTTCCTTCCTTCCTTCCTTCCTTCCTTCCTTCCTTCCTTCCCTTCCTT